AACTTAATATCACTTCGTAGTTTTAGAAAGCTAACAAACTCGAGTTTAATATATAGGATCAATTCATATATCACACATGAGTTATCATTTGGCACTTCTGGAAGCAGCCCCTGTGGGCCCCGGCCATCATTCGTTTGATGCCTCCAAATGGTGCAGATTCCATAGTATTGTGGTTCCAAGTGTATTCCTTGAATGAATAATCAGTCTGCACATCTGGCACATCTGCATATTGGTAGATGAGTGCCTAGTGCCATCAAATTATAAAAAAGGTTGTGTCTTCCTCTCTGAGTAGTTTACTTAGAAAATATCTCAGTAAAATGATAATTAACTCAGTATTTATATACCACAATTTGGATTATACAACCAAATTATTCTGAATACCTGGTATAGTCTGTTTCCCATTTCGGTCATGGAAAATGACCTGTGAGTTAGAATCTGTAGAAATTGGTAAATACATACTTCAGATGGCTTCAAGGTGGCTTAAGAGAACTAGAGAATTAAGAATATGAAGGGAGTGACTCTCTCTGGTGGCACAACAGGTTAAAGCACAGCATTGTGAAGCTAGCTGCAGCCGCTTCAGCATGAGTTCAATCCCGCTTCAGCACGAGATGACCCACATGGCACAGCAGACCTCTCCTGTCTCACCCGTTGCTCCCCTCAGCAGTGTACTTCATCGATCTGCCTGTTCTGCTCCCCGCTCTGTCTCTGATGAAGCCTCTCACCGCCCCTGCACCTCTGGCCTGTACTCCAGTTCTATATGCACAAATAAATAAATCCTTTTTTTAAAAAGTATCTTTATCTAGGGCAATACAGAGCATATTGTTGAAAATACCTCCTAATTTGTATCACTAATATTCACAGGAGGTTTTCAAACTGCTTGTTTGACATCACATGAGAAAAAAACTGATTTGACTGAAATAATGGTGACAAAGGGGTTGAGACAACAATTTAGGAGATGGAAGTTGTAATTATTTAAACCTGGAAATGAAAGGCTGGAGTGTGCTCAGGAGGGGACTAGAATTGTCAAGAAGTAGCTCAAAAGCGATTTCTCTTTGATAATAGGTAAACTGACTAATGGTCTGTCTGATTGAAGAATGAGCAAATGATTAACCACACAG